AATGCACACGAGAAAACAACCACCCCTCTCGCTCTTTTTTTTTATTTCATACAAAAAGAGGGCGGCTCTCGCGCGTCACGAAGAGGGGGGCAGAGCGAGGTGCCCCCCCTAAGGATGTTTTTTTTTTTTTTACTTGCACCCCGGGAGATAAAAAAGGGGGGCCCCTCCCCGACCCCTTTTTTTGAAAAAAACTTTTTTTTCTCTCAGGGGGGCTCATGCGTTATATAACAAGTTATCCGGGCTCTAAAGGCCCCTTAGTTAATGTTTTCTTCTTTAGCCTAACATAGTACAAAACCCTCAAACGTTAAGGCCTGATTTATAATGGGATTTATAATGGCAGTCAACCTAAAATGACTTTTTAAAAAATTCTAACATTCTCAATGCACTGTCTTCTCTTATTGCATTCCTTAATGCTTAATGATGTCTTAGAACTGAAAATAGTTAAAACCATGAGTTTTAGAGAGAAGTAGGCATGAGTTCAAATCCTGACACCCCAGTTTAGTCACCATTTATGTGACTTTACCCCAGTTAGTTAACATCTCTAATGCACTCATTTGCACAATAGAGATAATGCCCACATTAGCAGTGTTTGGAATAAAATCTAAGTTCTGGTTTAGTCCTGTTACTCACAAGCCGAGTGATGCTGGGAGAATTATTTCACATGTCTGAGCCTTACTTTTTTATCGTAAAAGTAAATAAATAGTATCTAATTCCTAAAATGGCAGTGAAATGAAGTAAGGCAATACATATAAAGGTGCCTGGTTGCCCTGGCCGGTTTGGCTCTGTGGATAGAGCGTCAGACCTGAAGGGTCCCAGGTTTCATTCTGGTCAAGGGCACAAACCTGGCTTGCAGGCTCCATCCCCGGCCCAACAGGGCGCTGTGTGCAGGAGGCAACCATTCAATGTCTCTCTCTGTCTCCCCCCCTCCCTTCCACTCTCTCTAAAAATCAACGGGAAAAATATCCTCGGGTGAGGATTAACAAAAAATTAAATAAATAAATAAACAAACAAATAAATGTGCCTGGCACTTGGTAAACACTCAATAGATGTTAGCTCCATTATGATTAATTACTCTACTGCCCCCAGTGTGTGTCCCTCTGGGAGAGTCAGAGGGGATGGGGCTTGGGGAGCTGAGTGAAAAAGGTGAAGGGATTAGGCAAAGAAAGGAAAAAACTCATAGACACACAACAGTATGGCGATTACTAGAGGGAAAGGGAGAGGGGAGGTGGAGCAGGTAAAGGGGGGATAAATGGTGACGGAAGGAGACTTGAACTGGAGTGGTGACTACACAATATAATATACAGATGATGTATTATGTAATTGTACACCTGAAACCTATATAACTTTATTAACCAATGTCACCCTAATAAATTCAATAAAAATTTTAAGAATAGTTTATTGATTTTTAGAGAGCGAGAAAGGGAGAGGGAAAGAGAGAAACAGTGATGTGAGAGCCTAACATCAATTGGCTGCCTCCTGCTTGCCCCGTACTGCGGATTGAGCCAGAAATGCAGGCATGTGCCCTTGACCAGGAATTGAACCAGCAATCTCTTGGTGCACAGGACGAAGTTCAACCATTATTTTAAAAGACCCTGGCCAGTGTTGCTCCAACTGGCTGGAGTGTAGCTCCATACACCAAAAGGTGGTTGGTTCAATTCCAAGTCAGGGCGCATAAGGGAGGCAAACCATCGATGTTTCTCTCTCACATCATCTTTCTTTCTTTCCTTCCTTCCTTCCTTCCTTCCTTCCTTCCTTCCTTCCTTCCTTCCTTCTCTCTCTCTCTCTCTCTCTCTCTCTCTCTCTCTCTAATTCCCCTCCTTTTTTCTCTCTGAAATCAATAAAAAACATATCCTTGGAGGAGGGTAAAAATACTTTTTAAAAAGAATATGAGTGCTCGCGTCGGCGCCACATATACTAAATTGGATCGATACCAGAGAGATTAGCATGGCCCCT